GAATGCCGATTTTTGACTCCGGACATCTTCAATAATGTAAGGAACGCTTTCGAAAGTAGACTGTATTATTGTACGGAACTAAAAGGAGGTCATTTTGAACACTTTATCCGTTAATTGTGTTGCAATTGATATTACTTTTGTTGATTTCCTCAATAAAATGAGCGACAGCGAATTTTCTGTTTTTTCTTAAATAAAACGTTCATAATTTTATTTCTCAATAACGAATGACCCAATTTCTAAAAAAATTACAGAAGTAATAGAGGGACGAAAGACCTTCCAAATGATATATCACTCGACCCCCCCATGTCATTGAAAAAAAATAGGAGGGGTAGTTGCTGACGGCAGGGGGGTGAAGTTTCGGGTATGATTTCCACATCAGAATTAGTCTCCCCAGAAATAACAATTGACGTTTTCTTTGAAATTTTCGATTACACGTCCGTTTTTGACTCACAGGGAGGTCAAGTTTTCGTTGGAACGCCCTGTATATCTAATATAACAGTTTGAGTTATAGTATACTGATGAAAACAAAACCATTAGTCAATAGAGTACGAATAAATTCACGAAACTTGAATCAGTTATGAAAACATCTGATAGTCCCAACAACCAGACAATAGAAAAATATTTTTTATAAAAATGGACAAGTGGAAATCCAAAACCGTTTTTCCCAAATATTTAGACTCTCCTAAAAATATAGCCCTTTCAATTCAAACAAGATTCCTATGGCTGGGATTGAATCAAATACGTTCTGTCATCGATGACATGATTCGATTGAACTCATTCGAGTGCCTAATCTTGTAATGTTATACGGATTGGTACTGAAGAGGTAATGCGTCTTTTTCCGAAACATCGGATGTCCGCCATTGAGGATGACAGTGTTTCATGTGCTTCAGTGTTTCATATACTATATATTATGTAGCAATCCTGTGAATGATACCTGATTCACTTCCATTACGAATGTTTGGAATACAACTTAAATTTTGAAAAACCGCGCATAGAAGTCTCAACGAACTCAGTTTGAAGCGGTACATTTCAAACTGTAACGGTAAATCTACATGTGTGTATGAGAAAAACTGTACAGTTTGTCCGATTTTATAAAACTGTACAGTTGAACGGAACAGTATGAAATGTTGTATAGATAATTCAGAATCGGAAGAAACTGATGTGTTGATAATCGTAACGTGTGTACCCAGTCGTTCAGTTTTCGCGTGGCAATAATGCTATAGAGAACTTCATATCTTCATAACTTCTTTCTGTCGCTAGAAACCTCACAGTGGCCACTAGTCTATCATGGGGAGGAATAGCATTTCTCATAATTTTATCTTGCTTTTCAATTATTGGCGATACTGTGGACAGCAGATTAAATAAATACCACTGTCCATTCGTGAAAAATTATGCCAATCTTTAGGAAATACTTTTAGTTCCTTCAATAAATTAACAAGGGAATCATCATCTCTTTTCATTAGCTATTCTTTACACCAAATATGTGTTTTCTTTTTTGATTTTTTTCTTTCTTTTGCTTTTTTATGGCGAATAATGAACAAACAACTGCTAACGCGTCGTCAGTCGGAGCCACAGCCTAACGAATAAATAATCGTACAGTTTTCTAGTAATGTGTGTTGGCACTACGAAAACTGAGCGTTTGAACTGTACCGTTCGAACTGTACCGTTCGATCGTAATGCTTTTTCGTAACGTGTGTAGCAGCCATAAGAGTGGCAGACCTAATCGTAGACGAAGACAAGGGTGCTGTGCATCTATATAAAGTTATAGTTATACATAAATAAAAAAAGATATTTTTATAAACCAGCGCATTCGCCAAAACTTCAATTTGAAAGATTTTGGCGGTTTTAACAATATGCAATAAATGTTCTGATAAGTATTGCGACTAAGTTCAATCCTTCTGCTATATTTTGTACAAACGATGTGGACTGCGAGGACTGTACTCGACCACTTTTTCCCAAACAGCAAAGATGCTCAATCATGTAATACCCCTCATAATGCCTTTTTTGAGTCAATGAGGTTAAGAAACACTCCGACTCTCAATAATCAACAAAATAACAGTATACAAGTACCCAAATAATTCCGTCAGCTAGTGCTGAAACCGAAAAATAGCAATTTGAGAGGACCACTACTGTGAAAAGTGGCGACAAACTCTAGGAAATGTCAAAGTGACATTTTGCATTATTATGTTTATTATTTCAATAAAATGTTTCTCAAAATTTCATTTTGTGAAAAGATTGTTGGGGGAAATAATCCGTTATTTGGACAAATAGAAGGGCAAATCATGTTTCAGAATTGAATCATATGATATTTGTGTGAGTAAGAGGATTTAAATAAGTGTTTATTTGCTTTTGAAATTTTACGCGAGGTTTTACGTTTTATTCCTCTTCTCACCAAGTGAGATTAACTCTGCTATCTATAACAAATGATGTACAAGAATGGTGTATGTGCAGTTGTAAAGCAGTAAATGATTATATTTAACTAAATAAACATTTGAAATATTTTGGAGAATAAATACTTTGCTTCGTCGGTCTTCAATAAGTTACCTATTATATTTAGTGTGTAATAGGTTATATAATTGCTAATGCATCGCACACTTATATGAATTTATTCAATGTTTCAGTACAAGGATCAGTCAATATCAATTTGATCAATCCCACAAAGGACACTCTGTGCGTGGGTATTACTGTTTCATTCACAATATTCGCATTATAAATCAGAACAGTGAGAGTAAAATGGATTTGACAATTCAGGTTATGAAAACGTGGAAATCATGTAAGAATGTAAAAAGGCAATATGTAAAAATAAAAATGCAATAAATTTAAAAATGATAAATGTAAAAATGAAAACTCAAACATAAAGTATAAAAATTGCAACAAATGTTAGGCCGTTAAATGTGCCATTATACGACATGATGAAAAAAATCTTATACAAATATTTGACAAATAAATGTCCCACTTTACCAGTTCCCATTTCAGTGTATAATTTCAACAGTGTTCTTATATGGTATAATGTTGATGAAGGAACACTCACTAAAGCCTTGCCTGGGTGTTGGCAAGGCCGTAGCCAAAAAACAATTTCGAGAGGGGTTTGGTTTGGTGGAACAGTAGAAAAACATGAAATATAAAAATAACGAAAGAAAGAAAATTGTGTTACATGATCATATATTTTTATTAGAAAACCATTACAGAAATATTAACATCTTTTCACAAAATCAAATTTAGTTTTTTAGCTTTCTTTGCAGCAAAGGAATCAATTACCTCCTCGATGTCGATGTCAATTCTACGGTGGATTGGCATAACCGCCAAACCGTTTAGTCGTTCCTGGCTTGTAGAGTTTCTTAAATAAATTTTGAGGCGTTTTAGAGAAGAGAAAGTCCTTTCAGGGGTACATGTGGAAACAGGTAGTGTCGCCAAGATCTTTGAAAGTTTGTACGCACATTGCCATAAGGTTTTTCCATTGCGTTTCGGGGAAGGTTTTTTCAATATTCTCTTTCAAGCACTTGGTTCGTTTTGATAAAATTTCTAACGAATTTCATAATTCCAATAGTATCTGTATCTGTAGAGTAGGGAGGGTGTAGGCCCACAGCACTCAGGCCACATGTGACCCATTGTACATCCTCTCAAGGAGTTGTCCTCGTAAGTCATCGTCGATCCCATCCTTCCCAGGAAGGTAGACAGGTCACTAGTAGACATCTCCTTTATATCGGCAGGTGCAGGCCAAGACTCGCCGAACACACGATAACTCCGGATACTCGCATAGGACATGCCTGCCAGTTTCATCTTCCTGTTCACACATCCTGCATACAGGTGTGTCCACTAGCCCCATATTATGGAGGTGTTTTCTTGGTTGACAGTGGCCAGTCAGAAATCTTACTGTTAAGCGTAGATTTTTCCTGGTCATCGCCAGATATTTTTTCGGCGCCAGCTTCCCAGGGTCATCAGTCATCAGGCCGTTGGTGCCACTGGGACCTAAAATTCTTAGTCCAGCCGCTTCCTTGGCTAAAGAGTCGGCAATGCGATTACCTTTACTCCTGTCGTGTCCTTTAATCCACCTCAGGATAATGTTATTATCTACCGAGGCTTTGGCTAAATCTCAGTGGCACTCTAGTACTAGCCCTGTGGTAACACGTTGTCTGTTCTAGGCTAATAGGGCTTTTCTGCTATCAGTGCAGATTGTTATTTTTTTGCCAGAAATTCCTTTCCTGGTTTTTTCTTTTGTGGCGATTGAGATACCAGCAAGTTCTGTTTGAACCACGCTGGTATTTTTTCCCATTCTCCACTTAGTGATCTGGAGTACACTCCACATCCTGAGCCTCCTTTGGTTTTTGAGCCGTCTGTAAATATGCGTATTGTATTTGTAGCATCTTACTCTGTATTCTGTTTTATTTGTATTTTGTAGGGTATATTAAACACAAACCTGGACTCAATTGCATCACTGGTTGCCTGCAGCAGAGGTTGCGCAGTGTGCGCTTCTCGCCATAGGCTCAGCCTCAATTGACCCATTCTTTTTTTGAGGTTTACACCAGCCTTGTGCAATCGTAACATGGCCATTAACACAACCTTCTTAACGCACAGGTCCAGGGGGGACAGACCAGTAATTAATTCCATTGTGCGGTTGGCACCAACCAAGCCAATGGTTGTATTTGATAAAATTTTTGGTTGGTCGTTGCTTATATAACTTTCTGGGGGGGATCAATCCCCCTTGATCCCCCTTGGCTACGGCCTTGGTGGGTGTTCTTTCATCGTGTATTATTGGATAATCATAAGTATAATATCAGAAAAACAGTGGAGTAGTGACATTAGACATTAAATATTGTATTTGACTCGTAGACATATACACATAAGTCAGGCTGAATTTGACGGATGGCGCATATGTTATGATCACCTTGAGGACCACTGTGATTTGTGGCTTATTTGCATATACCTGTGACTTGAAAAAAACCACAAAAGAAAAAATCTAGCGGGGTCAAATAGTACGATTACAATATGTTTTTTTTTAGGTGAAACTGTTCCATCCCCCTTCCCTCCGAGCGGCGTCCAGCAAGTACCAGGCGGCGGTAACGGGAGTTGCCAAACCCCCACACAAGGAGGTGGTGGTCCCCAACCACCCCCGCCGCCATATCCTTCCCTCCCGCCACACTCGCACATGCCGCCCATGAACCATGCTCTGCTGCAGCAACAACTTCTACAGAATCCGCACTTCGCACAGGCCAATGCCAATAACAGTAGTAGTCCCGGTGAGTTCATGTCAAAGGTTAATTTAATTTGATGGACAAAACTTCAGTTTTCAAGTAGACGCTCGAATAATTTCTCTAAAAGTTTTGTAGATGTTACAAGTCCTTGACGGTTGAGCCGAATAAATCGGTGAAAATATTGATTCTGTGAGGATCGAAATCCAGTTGAAAGGTTTTTCATTCTAGATTTTTCAGTTATCCAACCTTCACGGGAAAGTTAAAATACGAAATGAGTGGGATAAAAGAAAAACAAGGATTTGAATCCCTTGTCTATAATTATTTGAACGACTTTTCTGTGAGATGAATATTTTTCAGTGAATTTTCATATCATTTCTGTTAATATATATTGAAAATTCGAGTCAAAATACCAAAAGTTAAAAATGGATCAAGTGAATCCCGAAATCTGTCTCCCATAGAAATTTGTTTGGGTGCAGAGTATCGTTCCAATCTTTCTTGCTGTATCATTCGACGATAAATAAACATCATTCACATCCTTCATATTGCCAACTATTAGAAAAAATTGGCATTTAGCATTCCATAAGTTAGTCACAGCTTGTAACTGAGTTGCCTACAACTTTCAGGCTGCTGCATTTCTTCTATCTATTGCAGTTAGGAGGCTGCCTTAACTTGATCAAAAATATTGAGTACCTTCAGATAACTAAAAAGTTCAGAATTTGAAGTTGAAACGAAGCATCTTGGTGAAAAAATGCTGAAAGTCTTGTTGAAGGCAAGTTTTGTTGTGAAATATTGTGAGAATCTTGATGAAGTACCAAAACGTTCAGATATCTATAAAGAGGCTAGTGGCAGTTGCAAGCCTACACTATGCTTTGTAGAGTAGGATGTCAATATATTTCTATTATATAACTAAACACGTGTTGTGGTTTTGTAAACTTTCAGATGGAAATTTCAAATCAAAGTGTGTATTTTAATGTCATATGTTAAGCCGGTACAGCACAGTACGGTCCGTCCCGTCACGTCAAAATACGTATAGGGTTGTTGCAATGAAAATAATGGACAACCGCCCACTAGCTCGGCACGGCACAGGCAAGAGCGTCCGCCGCCGGAAAGGATTTCAGCTCTTCGATCCTGTCCGGCAAATAACGGTACGTGCTGTGACGGACAGGCCAAGTGAGCGCGTCGCCGGCCAGCGCTTGCCAGCATCAACTTGCCCAAACGTGCCTGGGAAGTTTCTGTCTCTTTGTTTTGCTATTCCATCAGTTGACAGCACAGTGTCAAACGGCACCAACGAAAATGGACGAGGAAAAATTGAGTTGCATGTTAAGGTAGGCTCTAGAATATCCAGAAGTTCTGGAAATTTGCCTGGAGTCATTCGGAAATACTGGAAAAATTTCTCCTCGTCTTCTTTCAGGTCGTTGAAAAGATGATGAAACTCTCCCAGATTTGCCCTCTTTTGATTAATGGGATGGACTCACATCCTTCTTTTTCGTAACTATTCTCTTCTACATTCAATAATGCGGCCACTATAATGATGACTTCTTCGTTAGAACTGGTAATGATAGACATGGTTTTGTCACCGCTCGACGTCAACTGAAATTCCCATAAAATCGAACAAAAAGCACCTTCAGTATGCTGGTTGTAGCTGGAATAGTTAGTGGGCGATGCTACTACCTGTCGCCATCAGGCGATCGACAGTGTCGTGCTGTGCTGCGCTGGACAAGTAAGCGACAAGCTTTACAGCTGCCGGACTGAGTCACGGCCGCTGAGTAGCCCCTCCCTCAAGATGTGCAGTAGATGTGTAGAAATATGTTGTTATTCGAGCCGTAAACTTTTAAATTCAGGACCGTTTTCAGTTGGTGATGGAGATTAAAACTAAATTGCATCATTCAAACTTTACTCAAATTTGATTTCTCCCACCGGCCATGAATCAGTCTGGTAGCTGTACTGTATGATTGTTGAAATCGATATTGTAAAAGTGTAAACGAAACACTTCATTATAATTTCATGAAAAGTAGCCGCTTGGTGAATAAATATCTATTTATAGTTCTACGAGACGCAAATTTCCAACATGTGGTTTCAAAATTGTCCTTTAAAATTAACCATTTCGTGATTCGAATCGATAGCTTTGAATAAGTAAACAACCTCCATGGTATATTAACAGGCAACCTCGACCTGCTGCAATGATTCTTTTATTAGTATCGATTGATGGATTAGATGTGTTCGAAAGATTATAGTAGATTTATATGTAGGAAATGAGATTTTAATGTTGGTGGTTTAGAATTTGATTTTATTTATAGTACAATTTCAAAGTTATAAACGAGTCTACTTAAAAGTTGATCTCTACTATTTTAATAGAAATATGTATTCGCCATTGAAATTCAGTCATGTTATCCAATGTTTTATGTCACTTTTGAAGACGATATATTTCCATTGAATTGCAACATAACTCATTTAAATAGAAGGTTTGGTATTTCGCAAAAGTGAACAGTTTTTCAACTTCATATAGAAACATCAACCTATTTTGTCATAATGAAAATGTTACTCAAACTGAGAACATTTTCGAAAAACAATATTTTTTTTTGCAACACCATACGAAACTCATGCTTAGACCTTTTTCATAAACTACACCTCACGATTCGATCTCACAAACTTCATTTGAAAAATATATCACGAATATCATCAACAGTGATCACTGTTGATAAAGCTACTGTGTTAGCGAAACATGTCCTGATAAATCGTGAGGTGTAGTTTATGAAATTCCTATGGATCTTTCTCAAGTAACGGCCAAATCAATCATGATGCTTACACCTCTTAACCACTTAACCATTTGACTCACGAGTTTTGGTTTCAAGAGATACAAATTATTTTTTTGGAATATATTGTCAAAATATGATATTTGTAAACACTTCAAACATTTTTTTTGACTCACACCCCTGGTAGTACGAAAAAAAAAGTGTCTACAATTGTAGACATCAGTAGTCAATATTATGATATTTATTTGAAAAAGAAAAGAACATTAGTTGTGTAAAATCAAATATAAAAACGGTTGTTCATTCTAAATCAATTGTTGTGGAAGTTCTCAAAACAGTTGAGATTTTTCTGAAGGCACAAATGTACTTTACACTTAGTGTCCATCGTGACTTGTCCTTGCACCCAACATCTTTACAACGTCCAGGTAGTGATATACGAGTGTGCTCTGGCATATGATTCACATTGTCCATTTGTACATCTGCTAGAGGCCTCACTTCGGTTCTTTTTCGACTTGGCTGGACTGGGGCATCATCTTTTGATGGCCTCCCAACCTTCTCTCGTGAAATTTCATTTCCCTGTTTGATGAGGACCTATCCTATTTCCATTCTGAAGTGTAATAAATCTAGAGTTTTTTTTGCTGGCCGTCCAAGCAGCTGATAATCTTTTCTGTACTCTGTCCATAAATTTATGAGTGCCATATCTACAGCATGAAATGTCATCCTCAGTGTCCATTTCTTGGACCTTATTTTTGTTCTATATAATGATGTGAGTGCGTCAGCTTTGTCGACGCCACCCATAGAGGTATTGTATTCCTTTACTATTTGCGGACGGTTCACGTCACATAATCCTGGTTCACATACATAACAATAACTCATAGGTGCTCATTCGTTTGTCCGCAAACCAAAATTTCAGATAATTTTCATATTCGTAGTTTCGTTTGAATTATTCTCTATGAATCGTAGTTGATTGAAGTTTTTTCCATCTCTTCATGTTTGTTAGAACCAAAAGTTAATTGAGTCAAGGCACTTTGTAAATAATGTAAGCCCCAGATTTTTTCATCTATAAAGATACTTCACCACGATTTTCAATGAAGAAGTTCCCAAATATCTTACAAGTATGTAATTGGTATGTTTTTAAAAAAATTGTGATCGCTCATTCATGACTATGTTCCTTGGTTTCGTTCTGGATAATTCATTACTAATTCTTAGAACCGGCAATATCTCCACATGAACAACGTGTTATCTGAAAATAACAAAGTTATTTGTGTACTTGTTTACCAAAGTCAGATCAATAATTTCTCCTCTAGTAGTTGGAGTAGGGGTCTGAAATTCAATTCAACGTTCGTAGTTAACCTACAAACCTTCCTACTATCTTATAATATTTATTTTCTCTTTCAATTGTTGTCGTTTACTTTATATTCAAAGGCAGAATCTACAAAACTTTGAAACAGTCTCGATTTTGAATCTTTTCCATTACTGGACGGCTTATGTCGCTGCTACTACTGGATATTTCTACCACATTTGAGGCAGTATATCATTCAGTCTCATGACGAAGAAAAAGAAAGTGCTTCATCAAGACAATACACAGTGTACCAAACCAATGAAAACAATGGCAAAATTGCATGAAATGAGCTTAGAATTACTCCCGCGTATACCATATTCCCCAGATTTGCCTCCCAGCGACTATCGGCTGATCGCAGACCTGATAAAAAACTTGTTTTCTCTCTTAAGCCCGGGACTTTTTAGCCCAGATGATTCCTCTGAGCTGAGCGCCTCATTTCTTGATATCTGTATATTTGAAGACTCAATGCCGGTAAGGCCTATTTTCATTATTCAGTCAATTTCGGACATACTGGAAACCATGTCTTTTTACTGATTTACGATTTTGTTCATGTCAGGTCTTTCATGACCCATTCTTAGTATCAAAAAGAACATTGGCATATATTTTTCTATTTCATGAACAACCTGTCGTGTTCGCATACAAAATCTTAATTGGGTATCTTCTGATAGAGCTTTTCATGACTTCACAATCCATAATCTTGACATATCAAAGCTTGGCTTAGACCAGGCTCTAGTTTGCCCAGGTTTTCATTCAATAATTACCCTGTAGATCTACATCGATCTGTTTCATAGACTAGGCAAGGCCTCTACGAGATATAACAATATACATAGATAAAGGTGAAACTGGAACTTCTGACGTAAAAGAAATCCAAAAACAAGCACTTCTGTCAGTCTCCAGAACTTCAATACTCTTGTCAACGCCCGTCTCACCAACAGTATCTTCAGGAAATGGCTAAAACTAATTCCTAACTCTAAAACTGGTATCTTAGTGTTC